CCCCCCCCACCACCATAACTTTGGGCAAGGACCATGCAGCTTCCTCAGCCGGCGATCCCTTCCAACACCTAGTGGAGCGTGGCTTTCCAGACTGTCAGTCTCTGTGGGAGCAGACAACTTCGCCTGTCCCTTCCCCTGCCCCCCACATTGGCAGTCCAGCAGGGCTCCCCTGTAGGAGTGGTGAACCAGCCCACTCCCATGCGGAGAGCCAAGGTCCAGGGCAGGACTTCTCTGCCACAGCCCCTGGCGCCAGCAGCGTGCACAGACACCTCACTGTCTTCGCGGAGCTGGGCCACCACCACCAGTGTCCTTGTAGAACATTCCCACCCACGCCACTCCGCAGCCTCAGGACAGCCCTGACTGCCTACTGTCCCGCAACAACACAGAGAAGTAGTCCGGGGAGGGGACATCTCCCCTCACCTGGAGGAGCCTGTGAGGCGCGGGGCTGGTGGCACACACTGGGCTGTTGTCAGGAAAGTCGGAGGTTCAGGATTACCACACCCCCCAAGTGCCGTGGAACAAAGGCCTGGCTGTTTTTGCAGAACCATCCCTGAGACCCTCCCACAGAGCACAGTGCTCCTCTGACCTTGGACCCCGTCTCGGGCCCATTTCGCTCTGACCCACTGCACCAGGGCAGCACACTCAGCTTCTGTCCTGGGAAAGACGGGGGCGGGGCCACATGGCTGCTCAGAGGGGCAGTGGCCTGTGCGCCAACCCCTGCCTGAGCACGTGGACCTCCATCCTGAGAGTCCACTCAGCGCAGGCTGTTGGGCCAGTGTTGGACCAGAGTGCAAGGGATGTGGTTCTCACCCCAAGCCACATGGCCTTGGCTCGGTCAGTGGGGCTGCAAGGTTTGGGCGGGGGTTGTGGGTGGAGGCAGGTGTCCACTAGTCAGAGGCTCAAGTTCACCCCGAGGCCACTTGACAGAGCCTGGAGACCAGCCCAGAACCCGGGGCCAGTGCTGCCCCTCGCTCACCGTCCCGTGAGCCAGGCAGCGCATGCTGGCTTCAGACGTGCTGGGCCAGCTCAGCAGGTTGGTGGGTCAGTGATGCAGTTGCCACCCAGGTCCCATCTCCTGCCCCCGCTGAGCCAGGTCTCCCCACCCCTAGGGCCGACAGCTCTTTTAACTTCATGGCATTTTTCTTCATCTTCGGGGCCCAGTTCGTCCTCACAGTTCTCCAGGCCATCGGCTTCTCCAACTGGGGCGCATGGTAAGTGGTGAGCTCTGCCGGCGGCCCTGCACAGCACCGGGGCGCAGGGATGGCTCTGTGGCTGCACCTTTGCCGCTCACAATGTAGACCCAGCCTCAGTGTGCTTAGCCGCCTGATTCTGGCTCAAGGGAGCTCTGGCCCACAGCCTCACACCCCACCTACCTGCTCTCCGGGGCGGGGGCTGTCCTGCAGTTCCATGGATGGCCACTAGGGGCGGTCTCACCTTGTCTTTCCTGGTCAGGATGTTTCAGAACCTCACTGAGGAGGAAGACTTTAAACCCACCCAGCAGCAGTGCCTCATAGCGACCCCCACCCCCACCCCCATCACCCGGCTCTGCTCACCTTGCTCCAAAGACTTAACCACTCCCCTTACCCTAGCCCCACTCCGGATGCAGGCCTCACCTCTCTCAGACTGAACCACAGTGGGGTCTCCTGGGAGCCAGCCCCACCAGGCCTTTCTCCTGGGCCGCAGGGGTGGGTTGTTCCTTTATATGATGGCGTTTCTGCCAAGTCCTGTCTAGTCCCCATGTTGGGTCCATCACATGGTAGGCTGTAATTAGAGAGTCAGAGGTTCAAACCCAGAAGCTACTCTGAGAGGGAAAGAGGAGGCTGTGAGGTCTTGTAAAGATGAGAGCTTCGGGGATCCTCCCTGAGGAGCAGTCCTCCCCCGTCCCAGAGGGGCGCAGTGAGTAGAACGGACTCTCAGCTGGGGAGTGTGTGAGCATTTCTGCCTCATCGTCCCTTTACAAGGTGCACGCCCCCCTGCAGTGTGACATCATCTCCCCGTCCCCTCCCAGGGTGCCCGCAGTGTGACATCATCTCCCCATCCCCTCCCAGCGTGCCCGCAGTGTGACATCATCTCCTAGCCTCTCCCGGGTGCATGCCCCCCACCCGACGTCTCCTGCTGGGCAGTAGCCCAGCTCCCATCCCTGCCTTCCCTGGTGCCTTCTGCCTTATTTGCAAACCTGGTGGCCCCTCTTCCCTGTGTGAGCCACTCCTCTCTGCACACCTGCCTTTGTGTGCTGGCTTCCTGCTGGGGGGCTGTGGCTGGCACCCACGCTCTCTGCCCCCCACAGTGGCTGGCTGGCCGCGATCAGCTTCTTCCAGAGCAACGTCGGGGCCGCTGTGGTCATGCTGCTGCCGGCCATCATGTTCTCCATGTCGGCCGCCATGATAGCCATCTCGCTCGTGAAGGTGTGTGCCCAGTCCTCCATCCCCGCACTTGGTCCTCCCCCAGCAGAGGGGGCGGGAGGGGCCGTCAGCGTGTGGCCTTGGGTGATTCTGGTGCATTGTGGCCCACGTGAGGGTCTGAAGCGGTGAAGCCCGGAGGCCGAGAGCCGTGGCTCCCACGGCACAGTGCTGGAGGGTGAGCTGCCTGAGCCGTGCACACGTGGCCGCCAAGCGCGCCCTCAGGGCGGACAGGGGACAGTGGGGAGGGCTCTGCACTCTACTTTCCATGGACCCTGTTCCCTCCTAGTTGTCGGAGAAGGAGTGTGACTTTGAGGAAGGGTGGGCACTTGTCACATGCGTGTGGGCGCGCGTATACACACGCTCACATATCTCATTCTCAAGCTTACATGCTGACGCATACGTTCACCCTCCACTCACACCTTCATCTGCTTGCCCTCTGTCACCCTCCAGGTACACAGGATCTACCGAGGGGCAGGCGGAAGCCTCCAGAAGGCGCAGACAGAGTGGAACTCAGGCACGTGGCGGAACCCACCATCCCGAGAGGCCCAGTACAACAACTTCTCTGGGAACAGCCTGCCAGAGTACCCCACTGTGCCCAGTTACCCAGGCAGCAGTGGCCAGTGGCCCTGAGGGAGCTGGCTATTCGGCCCTGCCCCCCACTTCACTGCCAACACAACACTCCTAGGAGGTGGGCTGGTGGGGTCATGCTGTCTTAGGGTAGGGTGGACTCTTCTGCCAGGCCTGGGGCCACACCACGTTCATCTCGTTCCCGAGAGCCGATTCAGCTCAGCACTGCCTCAGATGCCCAGTCTGCGCTGTCCAGCAGGGGCCCATGGCTCCTCCCCATAAAGTCCACCCATAGTCCTGTGTGTCCCCCTCAAGGTCCATTGGGACCCCTGCAGGGGAGGTGACAGAAGGCAGGCCTTTGTCCCCTCTGCAGCTGTAAGATGCCCCACCTCCACGCCCACCACTGTGCTCTGCAGAGCAGCTCCCTGTGGGTAGCAGAGGGTGTGTTTGGTAGTCTGCTATTGTCCCCTTGGTCCCCTCTGCCCGCAGCTAGAGCGTCAGTGTGGACTGGCCCTGAGGCTGGTGGGAACACCTTCTCCCCTCCGTCTGGCCATCTCTCGACCCGCTGCCAGGCCCCTGCCCAGCACTCTTGCAACACTTTCTTTTCGACCCGGATAACTGAAGGACTGTAGGATTGGGGATCTCAAACCAGGATCCTCCTGGATCCTGATTCATGGTAGATCCACTCATGGAGGAGCAAAGCAAGTGGTTGGGGCCAGGGTGGGGCAGCCCCTCCTCCCAGTGTGAGTCCTGGAAAGACAGGAGGGCCTGGCTCGGAGGAACAGACACGCTGTGGCCCCTTGGCCCTGCCGGACGGCTCCATCCATGGTCTGCAGGAAGCACAGGGCCTTGGGAACTCATTTTCCAGTCTTGCGGCAGGAAACGGAATTGATGAATTTGTGCCTTATTGAATCTAACCCCAGTGGGAAGTGCTGCACTTCTCAACTAACTGCCCAAACTCATTCCAGGGGGTGTTGTGGACCTGAAGCCCCACTGGGCATGGGGCATGGGTGCCAGGGAACCCTGTTTCCCAGTATATCTGACATGCCCGCTGAGCCTGCTACACCCCATGCTCTAGTGCTGACCCTCAGCTCCTAATTATCTCTCCCAGTCCCCCCAAATTGCCTTATCCTCCCCCCCCCATCCCCCCGCCTTGGGTTCCTATATATGTCTTTCCCAGTGGCCACGTGTGCCAGCAGCCACTCGGCTTGCAGAGATGGCTGGGGACACCACCACCACCACCCCTAGGCACAGCTGGGACACCTGGCTGCTGCCGCCTGCCTGAGTTGGGGGCCCACGTGGGAGAGGTGTCTGGGCGTATTTTGCACCTTCATTACTTTATTTTGTTATGTGAAAGTGCCCTGGGAATGAATAAATCTTTCCATCTCACGGCTGGCAGGTGCCCTTTGTGTGCGTGTGCGCGAGCGTGCTTCCGGCCTGGCGCACAGCGTGCCTCTTGGCGCCAGGTGGCGGCCTTGCGCCTCCCTGCAGGGTCCGGCCTGTGTCGCCCACTCCTGCGTGTGGGTGGAGCCTCGCTCACTGCCGTCACCGAGGGACGAGCAAGGTCTCGGTTTTCCTCCGAAAGACCCCTTTGATTCCGCACGGGTTTTTCATAGGGGAAGGGAACCCTGGGATGGAGGGACTCATGTCACTGGCGCTCTAGGAATAAGAGCCAAGAAAGGTGGGGAGGGGGAGGCCGACGGAGCCGGTGAATGCGCATGCCGCCGCGGCACAGTGGACCCGGGACTGACATGGGCGGGAGAGAAGGGGGTTTCCGGGCTGCAGGACACCTGGAGACTACCCTGCAGTGGACACACCAGACCGCATCCGCTACCCATTGGACCCGCGATGAGATGAGAGCTGTATTCTGGAAGGGGGTCCCCGAGGGAGGTGTCCTGGAGAGGCGCCTGCGTGGTTGCACTCAGGCCCTACCACCTGTCGGTTTAAAACGGACAATCCAGGTTCACAAGGAGCCCAGGGATGCCGCGCCGGCTAGGCAGTGGGCTGCTACCTGCAAGATCGCCGGTTCAAACCCACCAGCCGGAGAAAGGCGAGGCCGTCTCCCCCTGTAAAGATGTACAGCTTCCAAAACCCTGCGTTGGTCACCAGGAGTGGGATTCGGCATGGCAGTAGCGAGGGTGGTTTGGGTTTATTAAAGGAATTTTTTTAGCTGTCTGTCAAAACCCCACTTAGAAGGGATGAGAACCCAACATGTTCCTGAAAGTCGTCCTCTAACGGACCACAGAGGACAAACCCTGCCCCCAACGTGTGGGTCTGCGGGTGGTTTGGGGGTTTGGGCTTGTGGTTTGGGGGTTTGGGCTTGTGGTTTTTCAGGTTTACTGATCTATTCAGTGCAACAAGGAAGGCACTGCATTGGGTAAAAGCAAGGCTGTGACAGGACTATGGTCGTTCGCCTCGTGTGCGCGTGGGAGCTGGGTGTTGAATAAGGAAACCTGGAACCGTGCATTTGGAGGACGGTGCGGGTGACCGTGGAGTGCTGGACGAACAAACCCATCCGGCTTGGAGGGCTGCGCAGAGACAAGGACGGTGAGACTGTCTCACCTCCTGAGGACCTCTTACCAGCAGAGGACATCACGAGGAAGACCCTCAGCGAGGGGCTGGCACAGCGGCTGCAGCCATAGGGCCCAAGCTGGGCAGCAGCTGTGAAGATGGCGCGAGACCAGCAGTTGTTCATTCTGTTGTGCGAGGCGGGCTGGCTCTGGTCAGAACCAACTTGATTGCCAAACAACTGATACCGAATCCACATGCGATCCAATTCAGTGTTGTAATCATATGAGAAAGTTCTGCAGTTATCACCACAGTCGGCTTTGGAACAGCCTGTTCGTTCGTGCCCGAGTTGTTTGATAATCTCTGGAGAAAGGGAGCAAAAAGGTTGCCTCCCCTGACTCGGACCCCGAGTGTGTCAGAGTAGGGCTGTGCCCCACAGGGCCTGGGTTTTTCAGAAGCAGAGAGCCAGGCCGTTCTTCGTAGGCACCTTGCGTTACACTTGACCCTTCAACTTTAATAGGTGGGCTTGTTCACCCTGGACGGATGTTGCTCTAGTTAGGGACCGTTGAGTACGTTCTGACCCACAGCAACGCTATGTGCAACTGAGTGCTGCCCAGTCCTGTGCTTGAGCCCATTGGTGCAGCCACTGTCCGTCCATCTCCGTGAGAGCCTTCTCTTTCGCTGCCCCTCTACTTTACTGAACACGACGTCCTTCTTTGGGGACTGGTCTCTCTTGACATCCGATGAAATCTGGCCATCTCTGCTTCTAAGGAGCATTCTGACTGGACTTCTTCCAAGACAGTGGCATGGTGGGTTGCACATTGGGCTGCTAACCATAAGGTCAGAGGTTTGAAAGCATCAATCACTCCTCAGAATGAGGAGACTCTCTATCCCCTTCCTTGGGAGCCTCCAAACTTTGCTCCCTTTGGTATGCGTGTCTTTTCCTTGGTTTTTATCCTTATAGTAGGGGGTCTTATGTAATATTTGTTATTATTTTGCGCTTGACCAAAATCCTCACAATTTGATCAATAGCAGCATCATAATAGATGGAGAAAAGACTGATAGTGTCAAGGATTTTGTCTCGCTTGGATCCACCATCAATGTTCATGGAAGAAGCAGTTAGATCAAAAGATGAGTTGCAGTAAGTCACTTGGCAGCACGCGACCTCTTTAGAGCACTGAAGAGAAGAGGGTGCTGCTTTGGGGACCGAGCCCGACCAAGCCATGGTATTGTCAATTGCCTCGCAGGCATGTGAAAATTGGACGCCGAATAAGGAAGCCAGAAGAAGAATTGGTGCATCTGAATTGCAGTGCTGCAGAGGAATACTGAAAGACCCGTGGACTGGACAAACTCATCTGTCTTCAAAGAAGCAAGCCCAGAGTGGCCCTTAGAGGCAAGGTTGGCAAGACTTCATCCTACGTACTATCGACAGGTTGTCGGGACAGACCAGTCTCTGGAGAAGGACATCATGCTTAGTAAAGTGCAGGGGCAGCGTCAAAGAGGAAGGCTCCTGTGATGGCTGGCCGTAGTGGCCACAACATGGGCTTGAGCAAAGGAACAGCAGAGATAGGTGTGGCAGGCGTGGCAGTGTGTTGTTGTGCCTGGAGCGCGTCACTATGGGTCGGAACTGGGTCAATCACACCTAAAACCACTTCACCCAACATACTGTTCTCCAGGTCCATCCCTGCCATGAGGTGTTTTCTGGCTGTATCATGGTTTGTCAGCAATGTATAATCATCCATTGTGTCTATAAAGCCCTCTTAGCCATTCTTCCGCTGGTGGATTTTGGGGCTGTTTCCAGCCTCTTGCTGTTCTGAACAGGGCTGCGGTGAACACGGGCAAGCATATGTCTGTTCGTGCTATGGCTCTGACTCCTGTAGGGTGTACACCAGCAGAGGGATTGGAATTTCTATTCCCAGTCGTTCGAGGTCATGCCATATTCCTTTCCACAGTGATTGTCCACATAAAGTTCCGTTGCGGGAGTCGCTCCCCACCTCTCCCTGCTCCAGCCTGAGCAGGACTGACTGCTTCCCTGCTGTGGTGAATGTGCCTTATGAGGCCAAGGAGTCCAGGTGGGTGAACCAACTCGACTCTTCATGTGGCTCGGAAGAAAGGCCTGGTGATCCGCTTCTGGAATCAGCAGGGAGAACCCCGTGGAGGCCCCGGTCTGCTCAGACACCCACGGGGTCCCCAGGAGCTGGAACTGACTGCAGGCAAACTGGTGTGGTTCTACTTTATAAAATAAGACTGAGATCAGGCAGGTCCCAAACCAATGCAAACCCAAACCCACTGCCATCGAGGCAATTCCAGTGCACGATGACCCTGTGGAGGGTGTCTGAGGCTGGAAATCTTCACAGGTGCAGATACCCTATCTTTCTCCTAAGGCAGCGGTTCTCAACCTGTGGGTCGTGCCCCTTTGGGGATCGAAGGACCCTTTCACAGGGGTCGCCCGATTCATAACAGTAGCAAAATGACAGTGATGGAGTAGCAACGAAAATAATTTTATGGTTGGGGGTCACCACCATATGAGGAACTGTATGAAAGGGTCGCGGCACCAGGAAGGTTGAAAACCGGTGGCCTAAGGAGTGGCTGGTGGATTTGAACCATCAGCCATGAGGCTAGCAGCAGTCCAGTGTTAGCCTAGCTCTTTAAAGGCTGACCAGTCGATGTAAGAGAAAGATTCCTGGGCAAACGTGTTATAAAAATCAAATCTCAATTTATTAATCTCATCTCTTTCCTTTTTTTCTTATATTTTTCTTGTGATCATCTCTATTGATTCATTAGGATTATCGAGTAAATTGACTATTATTAGGTGTTGCCAATTTTTAAGTATTGTAGTTATTCTGTAGGATTTTATCTTGCTTATTGCACTTAATTATTAATATAACGTTAATTTATTCTTTTATTATTTATTATTTTTGCTTACACTTAATCTGTTTTATCCATTTATTCTACTCTTATTGTATTCTAGTCACTTAATTTACTTGTATCACTCTAATTTTAATTCTCTTAACATCTATTATAGTATTTATCTTATTTATTATTTCATTAATTCAATATTTAATTTTATTCATTTAATCAGTTGTTTTACTTTCTATTCCATTTTATTTATCTTATTCATTCTATTTCAGTTGATTTCTCTCATTTTTATTCAATCCTATATTATTTTCCTTATTTTATTTTACCTAATCTTGTATTAATTCTATTGTTTTTAAAATTTCACTTAGAAATGTATTCATTCTGTTTATTCAATTTTTAATCCCTCCACTTAATTTGTTCTATTCTTATTTCCATAGTTTAATTTTAATTTATTCATTTTTAACTTACTCAATTTGTTTACTTTAAATTACTTTTACTCTGCTTTCTTTCATTTATTTTGTGCTATTTTATTCACTATATTTCACTTGTTTTCTCTTGAGTTTCGATTTTGTTTTATTCCTTGAGTTGGCAAACGCCCCCTCTTCCCCTGTTTTACTGGCAGGTCCTGAGCAGATGGCTTTTCAGTGTGGGGTGACAACGGACAGCCAGACAGCCTGGTGGCCAAAAATCGCTTTCCTGGCTCGGCTGCTCCTTCCGCCCTCATCCTGGCCCTTCCCCTCCCCTTGGCCCAGGTCCTGGGGCCCCCAGGTGACACTGGACAGAAGCCCCTCCTGGAGGCCTGGGTGTGGCCCGGGAACGAACCAGGCCTGAGTGGGGATGTGTGCGAGGAGAAAGCCAGCACTCTTGGGGAGCTCAGAGAAAGGTCCCCCCTCCTGGGACCTCGTTTTGGGAGAGGTTTGGGGAGCAGCCACCTGGAAGGGCTCTGCTGTGTGGTTGTGTGCTGCCTTGGTCTCCACCTGCCCACGTCAAACCTGTGTGTCACAGGTGTGTGTGCGTGTGCG